CAAAAAAATTGTAAATTACTATATCAATACCTCAAAAATACACTGTAATTTATCAGGCTTCCTAACTAAATTGTACTTGGGTCTAAAAATATAATTTATATTCATAAAATAGCCTTGATAGCAATACTTCAAACTTTCCGATCATATAAGAGCTTTTCTCTCATAGATAACTTAGGAAGAGTGACAGAATTATGTAAAAGGAATATATAGCTTTCGATTGGTTATACAGTTATTGGTATATAAAAGTAGGCATAGATAAATAAGTCTTCTCAAATGATGAAGTGGTGGGTGGAGCCAATATCATGATATCTCAGCAAATAGAAAAGGTAGGAGGCTCTTATTTTATATTCTAGCTTGCCAGTATCAAACATTTGAGATTATAATTCGTATGAAACTATAGATGTTATATTGGGGGCATCATAAATTGTAATCTGGCCAAACCCAAAAGGCCACATACTACATGTCACACAAAAATCGATATTTAGCCTTTTTTTAATATTTAGTTTCAAATTAAGAAACTAACTAGAATATAATACTAAAAGTTGAATTATAATCTACAATATGATACCAAACTTATTCTCATACATTTATAAAATAATAGTTAAATAAAATGTTGAATGTAAACCTACAAACGGGATGGCATGCCCTCTGACCCTTACCTGTCTCGATAGGGTTAAAGAGTTATATTCCAAACTTTATTAAACTATTTTATTATTAATGTATATCAATAAATTTGCCATGAAAATGTAGCTAAAAATCTAGTTTTAATATTATAAAAGTTTAAATTTTTTAATCTCAAAAGGAAATATTTAAATATATTCTCATTCTTCACTTCTCTGTATCATGTGACATTTGTATGCTATGAATTCCCCATTTTAGATATTATTACTCTTATATGATGTCCCGAGTTTAACATAAATTACACATTTATAGTATAGATATTATAAGACATGATCAAGCTTTATAGCCTCCAGTATTGTTGCTTTAAGGAGATGTAAACCAAAAAGTCAAACCTATGTGCCACACCCTACTATCACACATTTCTTTCTAAAAGTGTCAGTAATTCTCCCTGACATTTGCTGTTTGATTATTTATAGCCAATAGAAAAAAATTCAATGTGTGTGTAAGGCTAGCTCATTATTATGATAGATTAGGTTGGGTCAGCCTACAGAGTCATTGGTGCTCTTGTTGAAGTCTCCCTAACCAGATAAGGGAATTATTTTAATCCACTTATAGCTTAGTTAGAAAACCAATTAAATAATAATATTTTTAGGTCGTTATATTTGGTTGCATGTTAATATTTTGAACTCTTACATATTTATAATAAATAAAAATTAATTAATCTACTACTACCATTGTTCAAAAGAGTAGGATTAAGTTTCATTGGGGGTAGAGAAGAAAACATATGAAGCC